ATTGAGATGATCTCTGATTGTTCGACAGTCCTGGCAGTTTGATTCAGAATCACGTCAAAAACTTCTATCTCTTCATTATTTTCCATTTCCATCGTCGCTGGGTGATGAGAGGCAAGAAAAATGAGGCCCACTCCGGCTAAACAGCATGCTGAATTAGGTCAAAACTAGGAAACAAATTTTATTTATTTATAATATTTACCGTGCAGAAAAGCAAGTTTCCCTACAGCCCACGAGCCCGCACCCTACAGGCTATGCGGCCCCCATGACCCAAAACTTTGGGCACCCCTGGTCTAGCATCATTAGCTACATCTGGTCTAGCAACATTAGCTACATCTGAATTTTTTCAGGCCCGACAGTCTAAGTCTGGGCTTCCCAACCCAGGGGTCGCCAAGATCATATTTATGGCCGCGAACCGGCAACTAAATGCCATGTTATGTTTTTTATTTGCGATTTTAGCGCATAGGTGGGGGAATCTGTTGAACTTCGGCCAGTGCTTGGGGTCCCAAATGGTATGATCGTGACTTTTGGCGTCGCGCATGAAGAAGGTTGGGAAGTCCTGGTCCAAGTATTTTACTTGTACACGCCATGCCTCGCAGACTGGAGAACTGGTGTTAAAACAGGCCCTGTTTTGGAGCTATCGAAGTACCACCGAGCAGATTTCCCCGCCATATGCGAGATCCCTACCTAATGATAGCTCCCGAACGACTATGGCGATTTACGCAGGGAAAACGAACGACTGAAATGCCACAACGAGTACATTCGTCATGTGCACCTAGGAAAAATCATGCCATAACGAGTTATACCCAGTTGAGTGGTTAATGACGCAAGGTTTCGAAAACGATTCCGTTTCACGAAGGAAAGCGTTTTGTTCATCGATCCGACCTGACATTGGGAAATGACAACGCTACTGGAGTGCTCGTTGCTCTTCGCTTTTACGCGAACTCTTTTCACAATGTCAAGGGATATTTCCAGCCGTTTACCGTACGTACTTGTTAATTCGTACGATGCTCACAGCCATCTTTAAAAACTCATTACGGTGTGCTTTCTCGCGTACGAGATGCTACGTTGCCGTCACCAACCGTCGTTGAAAATAATCGAGGATTATTATAATAGAGCATTATCAAATGCAGCTCTATCTGGCCAGTTAAAAAATCGAAAAAAATAATACTCCACTTTATAAAGCTGCATTATCCAATAAAGCAGAATTATTTTAGAGTGCTCTATCGGCGGTGCATCCAATTTCCTGAAATGTAGACCACTTGATATGGAATCGGCCCAATCATTTATCGCCGTGGAAGACTGTGTCAGACTTCCTTACGGCGGCCCTAGAGAGCCGTGGAAAGAATCCACTAGTTCCCCTTTTTCTGAGTTCCCGACAATGAGCCCAGAGAAAGCGGAGACAGGGGCATTCTACGAAATCCAGGGGTCATGGACACTGCTTCTTCTATTCTCTGTGGTCGTCACTCACATTGGGATGAGAGCCGCAGACGGAGGACCCTGGAAAGGGGAAGGGACGAGTGACCGAACTTTGAAGAGACGGAGCCCCCCCCCCTTGTGGCGCTATAACGAGAGTTGACCGCATATAAATTCATCCGATATTGTGCGAGCGAGGCATATGTTTTCTACACATCACCTCTTCAAATAGTCAGGAAGATTTCTGGCGCATTTAAGAAAAATTTAACTCAGTGCTTCGATAACAGCAATTTAAAGTACTGAAAATCGCAGCGAAGAAGCAACAGCACGCTTCGCCTCGCTAGACACTGTATATGCTAGACACGCTATACACTTGATGCTCTTCAACAAGTCCGAACGCAGGCGGCAAGAAGTCTAAGTCTAAGCTTGGTACTCGAAATCTCTTATCTTCTGTTATTGCGGTTTTGATTGCTTTTTCATTCTTGTAAGCTTTCCCGTAGGTTTAATTTACTCTTGATTCCCCTGAGACTTGCTGTAGGAGAAAACATGAAGTTCGGTCGATATTAATTGAAGATATTTCAACAAGTAAACTGGCATCTTTCTATTTAAGAAGTGCAGAATAACCGTAATTACACATGATTAGAGGAATTTATCAAAGACCAAACACCATCTCTGAGACCGTCTGCCATCTGCTCTCCGCCATTTTGGAGCTCAGTACCTGGTAAGGATCAGCAAGCAAATGGCTTGTTCTCTACAAAATTTCAGGATGAGACTTGGAAAAGTGATTCCATTTGAAGCTGCCAGCGAAACTTTTTAAAACTTTTAAGAAATCTTTATTCATCTGAAATGCCGTATGCAAAAAAAAAGCATAGGTCTCGCTCAATATCAGATGGAGAAACGAGGAAAAAGTGGCGATTTTTATTCATTTAGACGGAGTATGTCTGCATGAATGATGCAAGGAGCACTCACCCCGCCCTAAGTGCCCCAGTCTTTCATCTCCATTGCTTTATTTTCTCAAGTTGCCTCGCGGGCCACAACTTTGGGCCCTCAGCCTGCTTTAGATGATAAGGAGCATCACAGTGGTGAAACTTAAAACACCCCTACGAATATTCCCCCTCCCCCTCCTTAAGTTTCTCACTGCCTATATCCATGGCCTCCGCGCACCGTGCTTTGAATTACTCTGCCAAACCGGGAAGAATTTTTCGTGTATTCATTGTACAGTACATGGGAAATAATTTTTCTCTGGTTTTCGTCCAGAGCAACTATTACCATTAAGTACCGCATCATCCAATGGCACTCAAAGAACCAAAAATGGAATCGTATTCCCTTACGCCTTGTCACTTCCACTCTTCCCTGCTTTCGGGATAGAAAAAGATTTTTCCGCCTTCTGGAGTTGGCATAGTCATGGCATGAGAACCATGAGAACCGTCACAAAATTCTAGGCCCGTTATCCCATTCATATTCAAGTGTTTCCTCCACTAAATTTTTTTTTTCCCTTGCTCCAAGGTTCAAGTAGTAGGACCCTTTCCCTAGCATGTTTGCGTGCGCTCCTCCTTTCTCCTCTAGCGGTTTTTTTCTTGTGTTTTCATTTCTCAAATTGCACCTATTTTGCAGTCTTATTATCACCTTTATGTTTGTTCTTTTTTTTTATCATGCATGTGCAAATGAGAAAATGGAGTTATTGAAATTCCGTATACGATATCGCGTTTTGCAATGCATATATCCTACTCATACCGTATACGAACTCGCGCTAGGGAACGGGTTAATCACTTGAATCCAACCCGAAGAGGGAAAAAGGAAAGGGCCACACTGACGAGTGAGATGGAGTGGGCGTGCCTACGACCCACCACGACTCCTGTCATACACAGGACGAGAATCGCTTGCTCTCGCATTCCCCTCTCACGCGTGTCCTCTCCCACGTTTTCATACACGTGAACCGGAGATGGCTGAAGTTGACTCTCGTCCGGAGCAAGGTCATTTATTAATACTGCCTCGATGAAGATTTAATCCGGATTGGCTTCGATTACTCCCTGCTCCCTAGTTTCCTCTCAAAATATACAAACGAATGAAGTGTTCAGACATTCACAAAAGGATACTGTTTTTATTATTGAAGGACCCAGTCTAGCCTCTTTCCACAAGCAACGAGCCGCCATTGCTCCACTAGATTCAAACTTGAGCCCTCAGAAGTCTCCCAATCCTCATTGAAATTAACTGAGTACCGGAATCTAGCTCATCTACCTGATGAGAAAGTTGTGAAGCACACGTTCATACGTTCTTTTCTTGTCCCTTGATGGTTCGTCATTCTATTCCGCGATGACAAAAAATAAAATCCGCTTCATTAGAAAGTTTGATCAAGACTTAGTCTCAGAAACATGCTATTTCGGACATCATGGAATGAGGTAATAATCAATCAAGAGAGAAGGACGGTGGAGAGACAGCAAACGGGTTCCTTTTTTTCCACGGAAAGGAATCAATACGTCGAAGAAATACGAGCGACCGAGGCAACCCTCAAAAAGAAGCTTATGGAACGGTCGCCACAAGGTCATGTCGCGGCCAATAAAATGTCAAGGCCAATTACATAGTAAGGCCTCACAGCTGAGTGAAAAAGTGAGCTGTCTGACCAAAAAAAAAAAAAGCGTGTGGCTGCAATATCCTCAATCCCTCTGCCTGCAGAGAATTGCTTTGAAAATTTGCCGAGCCATCCCGCTGCTTTCTCCACGAAAAGGAAAGCGCGCACGCTTTATTAAAAACTTCTGATGTTCCTAGAAAAAGCCAAAACCTACCCAGTGCTCATCTTCGTGGACAGTAAGAGGGAAATTGCAACTGTGACTCACCCACTTGTAGAATGGAAATAAGATTCAGTGCCGAAAACGAACAGTAGTAAGCGGAACCTCCAGTCGCGTCTTGACATCCGTCGCGTTCAACTGACAAATGAAAACTGGACGAAAGTGGAGAGGTTTCCGCCATCCCCGATGTCTTGCAGCCTTCCTTTCCCTGCTCCATCATCGCTCGGTCGAAATTTGCAGATTGCTTTCGCTGTGTCGTCATCATTGCGCGGAAGCGCCGGCGTATGTCTCACGAATAGGAGGATACCCAGCGAACAGTTTGAAACACATTACGTTGAATCAATGTTGAATAAACGTTTGGAACGTTGTTACAACGTTGGTCCAACGTAGCCTTGTTTGCTGGGTATTTTCTAGAGCCTATATTCATTCGCGACAAACAGATCGACTCGAATTGTAATGCCAACGAAAATACGCCCTCGACTTCGTCTGAGGTAGTCGGAAAACTGTACATCAAGCTAAAATGAGTTTCTATAATTACATCAACTTCATCCAATGATTAATATAGTATAAAGCAATTTTGAAATCAGAAATTCTCACAGAACAGCATAGAGTGGAGTAGATGGTCCTCATTCCCTCATTCCTTTGCTCTTATCATATTTCTTCTTATCTTCATTTCGAATTCATTATGTAGACAGTACACAGAAACTCGGATTGGACTCGGCTTTGCGCTCGTCTTGTGTCGTCTCTCCGAATACATCTCAGGAGTTTTCGTTATCGTTGTTGAATGATGACGACCAGACGTTTGCAAAATATACTTTTATTAGACGATAGTCCCTCTCTCGTACGTCAAGGACAACCAAACAGATACAAAGCAATCCCTTTCTCCCTCGCTTTGCGCAGGTGGGGGTGGAGACGGGGAAACAAGTGCTTCGAAATCCAATTGCTATGTACAGCATCCAGAAAAGACGATGCAGAGTGATTTGGGGGAAAATTCAGTGAAAATGCAGGTCCAGCCTGCCACCTCGGATAAAAAATGTATTCCCAGTGAAACCTCTTGTCCAAAACTTCACGTGCTTCCCCGGGGTTTAACACCAAACTTGAATTTCCAAGGAACACTTTCATTTATAAGAATACCGAAGGGAAGAGTGAACTGAGAATTATGCACACGTTGGTCCGCGATTCAGCTGTTTCTTTACTCGTCTTTCCGATGTTCGCCGTCTGATCGGAGGGATTGGTCCCGAAATAAAGAACAAACAAGAGAGAACAAGATACAAGAACGCCTGAAGAAAAAAGATGAACTGTTTTCGAGTTCGGTGCTAGAAGGAATTCCTTCTTTCGTCTTAGGGCGAGGGAGTTTCTCTCCTATCTCTTTCAATCTCTCTCTCTTTCTCTCTCTACCCTGATGTTTCTACAAGGAACTAGGGGGGACAACGACGATGCTAGATCATCCACAGCCGCGTGAGGAAGAAGACCCAGGAAAAAGTGGGGGGAGAGGGGGGGGGGGGGGGGATCACATCCATGACAAGTCTCTGTCTACGGCAGAAAACGACGGGGCATGGGGCTGACAAAAGTGACTAGCTGCCTTCTCGCTTCCAAGTTCATGTTTTCCCATCACTCATCCCCAGAGACAAAAGTCACACTCTTCTTTCCTTCTCCTTTTCGAAGGATTGAAAAAAATATTGCCTTCGCGTGCGTCCTCCGGGTCCAAGAGCCGGGCAGAAAAGAATATTCTTTCATTCGGGTTTGAGGCGATGCCACTGAGTGACGGTCTGTCGACTCTTGCAGATCATGTCCTGCCAGTGCTTCGTCTCCGACACTCCGGTCGTGTTCTTACCTGCAAGCAACAAATTCAAATGAGCATCGATACATGATTACTTGCCAAAGGTTATTGTAGTTGGTTTTTCCGTTCTTCAGAACGGTGATTTTTTTTTAATAGTCTAGTTTAGTCTACTCTAGTCTTGAGGCAAACTCGAGACTTGGTCGACCTAGACAATATGGGTTCCTATCAGTTAGTTGCAGCGAGGGCCTTCTCAGATGGTTCCTGCACCTCAAAGACTTCACACAGATGCTCTGCTAATGCGGCTTGAAGCTGGGTATAGAATGGCACTAGAAGACTTTTGATTCTTTCGAGATTGTTACATTATACTTTCGCAGATCGGCACCGCGGCATCCTTGTTCCCAACTTTCTTCCTGAGGTGAGATCGACATAGCCCCTGTTCGCCTCGGAAAACGCGCGGAGAGAATATCATGCAGATTAGGGAAGCGTTTGCCGATCTGGATTTGACTGGATTGCGTGATGACGTCACTCCTCTCGCTCTTTCATCCCTGAAATTCCAAGAAGGAAAAATCTTTCCGAGTCCCTGCGAGGCGACGCATTACCATGCAAAGCAGAATTCCGTAAGCCTCCCGAAGAGGAATAGGAATCGATCCATATAATGCGGTTACTCGGGCCTCGTAAATGCGTCACGAGTGGTAATGTCTCCTAATGTGCATTAGGAGATAATGTGACTATATATTGCATTTACCGGGTCCATGGATGATGAGAGTAAAATGGACACCCCAAAAGGTATGAAGTTGATCTTGAGAGACATACTGTGAAAACGCGTCTCAGTTCTACTGGTGGCAAAGGGTCATGCTAAAAAAAAATAATAATAATTCTACGAACTTTGTTACTGAAGGCACTGCTTGCATACACCGTATGTCTCCTTTACCCTGATTAGCCTGTGCAGTAATAGAATCTATAGTGGAGGGAGTTAAAGCTTTCTCCAGATTTCATCGTTCTGAAAGGACAAAATTCTTGTGCCCGCACATCATCATAATAAGCCGGTATTGCATAAAACGCGTCTCCATTGACGTCAGTGGGCTTAAACAGTTGAGACTCGGGCTATGACTCGAGCCTTGGCGCAAAGCTCTGAATGCAATCGGTGATGCCTCGGAAACCTGACCCAAGTTATGTGCAATGACCCGGTCTTAGAGATCGATTCATTCCCGTCGTTTCATCACTGCGAACACGGCGTCTACCATGAAAGGCGTCCAGCGGCAAATGTACGTACCCAGATCCTGGTGGGATCTTGGTATGTGCCGGGTGGGTGAGATTATAATGCCAATGCAATCCAAATTGCATTGGTATTATAATCTCAATCTTTCCTCAAACTGCGAAAATATAATTTAAAAGTTCCATAAATAAAGTGGCACAATTATTTCCAAAACGATTCCACAGTGGCACTCTGAGCTGAGGATCCTTTTCGATGTTGACTTGCCATTATTCCTGCAGCTAGTGTGGCATTTTCAACAGAAGCTCTCAGAAATCTGAACCTAATCATGAAAACATATTTTTAGACATTTGCTTGAAACCTTAACCTCAAGCTATAAACTGCACAGTACTTAAATCGGTAAAACTTGTTTCCTCCAGTTTTCTAGGCACACTTTTGCTCATCAACCTGAATCCTGAAAGAGAAAGTTTATGGGGCAAATCCATGCACCTTACCAAGTGCTTCGCAAAAGCATTCGATCACCTTCCAGAACAAAACACTGGATTTCTGTAAGAAAAATGTGCCAGGCAGCAATATTCTGTTTGCAAGAATGCTAAGAGAAAGCGAGGAAAAGAGTTCTGTGATGTCCTTTTGCTGAGTTATTACTTTCTATACATTTGAAAAGAGTACTAATTATAAACTCCAGTTTGATACCACGTTCATTCTGTCATTCCAACAATGCTACTAAATTAAGTTTGTGTCCTTACCTCTGACGCACCCGTATTTTTCGAGGGATAAGCCTTTCTTTGATTCGCTCGATCTCAACTCTGGATGTCAACATGGGCAGAAAAATAAAAATAAGAGTCCCTATGCAAACATTGAGCATTGAATCCTTGGCGGCCAGACAGGGACTAAGTGAGACGCCATGGTCCATTCCCTGGCCAAACTCCAGGGTGAATCCCAGTTTCTTCTGCGCAGCCATGCCCGTCTCATAACGCTGCTCTTAAATAATTCACAGCGAAATCTTCGATAGAAGTAGATGGAGCTTCTCTCTCGTCTCGGTGTTAATTGGTCTCGAGTCACGTGTCGCTCCCGTTCGTAGGCCACCGTTTCTCCGAATTGGATTATTGGCACCTACTGTGTCGAATCCTCTCCAAGTAGGGGAGTGAGAAGAATCGCACGCCTCCATTAACTTTCTATGTACCTAATATCGAAATCCGATGGCGATTTTTCCCCCCCTTGAGTTCCTTTGGTTTGGCCACTGCGTTCCGTATTCAACTGAAAAGGGCAGCACTGCTCAAAATCGGAACTTTGGAGCGTGTTGCAGGTCTCTCATATTGAGTGAATGCAAAACAAAGTTTCTAAGTAGCTTGATGAGGTCGTTCAAGGATGTTGCAGATCTGCAACTCTTGTACTCGTACATCGACTCTGGGTTAAAAGAGTCTCTCCTTGAGAGGAGAACTGCACAAATGGGCTGTCCCGCTTACACTGTGGGACACACTTTAAATCGCCACACTTTTTTAAACAGTTGTTTTTAAAGTGTAAAAGTGTGGTGACTGTCTCACCCTCTACATTCTGTCACCTGAATCTCATTCTACCGAGAATGTCAGAGAATCGCCTGAGCTTAAACGAGTAACGAAAACGGAGAGAGGCTTGAGTTAGAGGTGGAGGCGGAGGCGGAGGAACTCAGTCGGCGTCGATTATCTCTTGAATGAATGTGAAATGCGACAGAGGTCTTTCTTCCTTTGCCAGAGGTCTATAATGCGGTCTCGATGGGAATGCATCCATTGTCCTCCCCTGCCTTTGTGCAGGCCATGCCAAGTGAGAAAATTTCTTCTTCCGCTCGCCAGAGAAAGAGTGATTTTTTCCGCCTTTTCCGATCTTGAGGGATGCCTTACATGGCCCCGTGACTAATTAGCCGTCACGAAAGGTAGGATTCTTTTCTCTAGAGACTCGAGTTTATGTGGATAGTCTTAAATAATGCACAAGAGCATCGATTCCCTCTCTATCCTATGCATATCGATTTGGGCTTCATCGATTTCCTTCCACATATTATAAGCCCATAGGAAAGCAACCTTAGTACAAGGTGTGTCTTGTAAAAGTGTTAATACAGGTATATCTAACTTCCTATGGCCTAGCCTATGGCCTAGAGTGGCGTAGCCTTGTAGGCCTAGGGCGTTGGACCTACAAGGCTATTCTATTCTAGACCACAGGCTAGGCCATTAGAACTTGGGGATACTTTTGAAATACACACCCTGTATAAACCTATACACGAGGAGGAAATATTGAGGGCCTGGGACAGACAGGTAAAGTGAGAAACATACTGGCAAGGACGAGCTTTCCGATGAGTTCATTGCGACCGACGCTGTCGAAATCCATGACGAGGACATTGAGGGCCGCTTCCCGGATCCTTTCCCAGGGAACGTTGAATGCGAAACTCTCGTTGAAAGTCGGGTTTAATGTGCATTTGTACACCGGCGTCTTGCGCTTCTCCACACGTTTGTCTCCGTATTGGAGCCACACCTTCACGTACGGATCTGCATAGGTACACGGAGATTCACGAGGTCAACGTGCTCTAATGGAATTTTCATGCAACATGCTTGAAGACTTGAGGCTGATCATGGACAACAAAAACATCTGGCGATATTTACGGCCACTTGATAAAGTGTAACGTGAAAATTTTCACAGATTGCGCCATGCAGATGTACCTGATTTCCCGTTGATGTCTTTGGCTTTAAGGTTCCTGGCCTTAATGACGACCATTGTGAGCTGAGAGTTCGCCGGTTGATAGCAGAGAGACAGCTGGAGTTCTCCGCATCGATCCTTTTCCAAAGGTCTCAAGCCTTTCCAGAACGTTGGCTTCTCTGATAAATCCACCTGTGTGTGCACGAATAAATAAATGAAATCCCTTTGATGCTCTTTCTTAGTTGAACCTCAAAGAGATAGAATGACGAGACATCGCAAAAGAGGCATTGAGGCGTTTGATACCCATAAATCGAGCTCAACTAGGACTTCCAAGATGAGAGGTTTGTATTATTAAAGCTCATTACGACAGGGATGAGAAGGAAGGGAGGAGTCATTTCCTTCTTTGGATTAGAGCCGTGAAAGAGGGAATGAGATATCAGTCGGTCATGGAAAGGAAAGTTTAGATTGGACTTGGATCGATATTCCGTTCTCTTCCCATCTCATTCTGTCCTCATCTTCTCCAGGACTACATCTTTGACGTGAACAGATGAAAGGATCTTGGGAAGAGAATAAAAAATAAAACCTCCCCACATGGGATTAAATTTGATAGGATTGATCGCGGAAGAGGCTGTCGGATCCTTTTTGTACTTGAGATTCCCAAAGGAGATATGGGTTGTTTCCTCGGCCTCGAAGTTAGGAATATTTAACATGTCTAGGCAAGACAAGATCTCCTCATTTTCCCCTTTCCTCTACCTTATTCCTTACCTGACAGAGGGGAAGGAAAACCTCGCCGATGGAATCGTCCCTCGAGAAGCGATCGTAGTCGAATACATGGAGGTGAAGGACCCTGCTTTGCAGCTTCTGAATCGGGAAACCTGGATTTCCGACGGGAGAATAGAGTAACATCGATGAATAGCAAAGCAAGAGCCATTCAAGCAGACGAATATAGCTTAGAACGCGTTCGTAGGTAAGTAAAGATGAGGACGCGTTACGACGGAAAAGATTCTCACACGCAAGGCAAGGAAGGTTCGCGAACTAGGGCAGAGGAATGACATTACATTTTTGTTTCCTGTCACGTCCGAGTCGGATACAGAAAGAAGAGGACTCATGATCAGTATGAGCTTTTGCTCGCCTCTCCACTCACAATCCAGACGAATGAGAAGATCCCTTTCGAGAGAAAAGCAACCTCTTGTCCCGGGGAAGAGAAAGAGATGCTCTAGGCTCGTACGGCAGTAGCTCTCCATCCTTCAGTCTTCCTTGATCAAATAAGTCCCTTAATCAAGGGCATCTGTTTCTCTTCCATCTCTTACTCCAAATGGATCCAGGTTTTATCTCCGGGAGGGAAAACCCTTGGGGTCTTTAATGGTCAAGCTAGGGATAAGCCATAAAAGCCATCCAGGATACGAAAACAGCCTTCCTCCTCTTTCAATGCTGCCATTTTATCCCTTTTTCATATTTCCATCCTTTTCCATCTTAACGTCTTCCCTTGCCTGCCAAAGTTCCATTTTCCTAAGACAACTTCGAACATAGCCTTCATCCTGGTCTCCTGATCCTTTCCTGTCGACTGGTAGGGCAAATCTGGGAATTCCGCAATGTATCACTTTTCCGCTGTATCATTTTCCGGTAAGAACCTCAATCAGTACCCTATCTAGTTTGATGGATAGTGCCATATGTACTATGACATCACTGCGATCACAGCTCTTTCACCTCAACTGGGTAAATAATGACGTGAACTGAAGCAGGTGCTCCTTCTCGCTGAATACCGTGCTCTATAATGAGTCAGATAGTTCGACACGAGTCGATCATTATCTATAGATATATTTTAGGACATATGGCAATTTAGATTGCACCTCCATTCAGTCCTTTGATAGTTTTAGGACCGAGTAAGAGATGATCGACATGCATAACTCCTTAAGTATCAGCAGTGCAGACGTTGCGGAATTGCCTGATCGGAAGATGAACCTTCGGTGAATTCCATAACTTCTTGCTGGAACATTTCCTGCATTCTCCTGACGGCAAGGTTTTTAATTTCGCACTCTAATCGCTCAGTCTTCTGTCGTGCTTATTCAGGTCGCATCCGACTTGCGATTCATAGTTACCTATAATAAGTTGGGATATTGCCATCAGCAAAGAAATGGGAAACCCCAAAGGTAAAACCAAAAACGTAGCAAGAGCCAGAGGACGAAGGAAATATCCAATAACAACCAGCAAGGATAGGACAAGCAATAAGTATTTGCAGGAAGATCAAGATGCGGCAATTAACGTCACAAAGTCTGTCAGAATGGACTTGCGTGGGACTCCAAAGTGTTTGGAGTGCCACAAACAACCATAAATGATAATGAGGGAGGGTTGGCAAATTATGTTTCAACATTGGAAATCGAGAGTATGATAATTTCACTGTCTTGAAATAAAATAATATCAGAAAGATAATTTACGGCATACATTAGAGGTCCTTCCCCTTTAAAACACGTCTTGAAGCCCCTACTTTCCATCGCCGAAAAAAAAAACGAGAGAAAAGTCAAAAGACGCTTTTTACTTATCATGGGGAATCTGGGAGACGAGCTTTTCCGCTTCGTTTGGTTGAGATTTTTTTTTTTTTTACTTTATGCCTGAACTCCCGGTAAATCTGAACGTGGGAAGAACCATTATCCATCATTGCCAAAGTTAAGGGCCTGAAAACTAATAACTTCGCCCTTGAAGGGTGAGGGGGCATGGAAGAAGTAAGGGTTGCGGAATTCCCAGAATAGCGTTGCGGCTTCAGCAGAAGGGGTGCGTAATTAGCCGAATGCCCATCAGGAAGGATGACCACGACAAAATCTAACCCTGGAAATTCTAATTAGAGAAATCCTTCCGTGATTCGAGTCATCCGATTCGTCTTTTCCTCAAGTTTCACCAAAGGTATAATACAACATGGTCCTGTGCACACAGACGCCGTCAGCTCCAGTGAAACAAGGGAACAGATAGTTGGGATCCAAAGTCGTTGCGGAATTCACAAATTTGCCCTATTTTCAAAGAAGAGCCTTACCTTCGAAGTAGAAGGTTTCATTCCAACGTGGGTTCAGAGTTCGGCGTCGAATTTTGGTCTCGAGCCGATGCTTCTTATCCGGGAGTAAAGTGACCCTGACATAAGGATCCGAAGTTCCTGACAGGTCCTTAGCTGGTAGGTCCTTTCCCTATGAACAAGAACAGGACGCATATCTCGTTATATCCGGTGTTGCGACGAAGAATTGTTTTCTAAGCCTGGGGCTAAAGAAACAGAACCCCTTCTATCTCTGCAGAGGTAATACCAGATATGGCATCCTTCCTTTACAAATCCCCATCTCTGTTTTTCCATTCCCCAGGAAAGAAACAAGAAAATCTCCTCCTATTTGCGCTTCGATGAGAGCGAAAGTGAAGGTTGAAAGACGGCTTTTTTTTGGCAGAAAGGCTTGGCGGACTCCAGGCCACGTATTTTTAGCTTCCCTTGAAGGAAAAATTCACCCTTTCCTGGGTTTACGAAGTTGTCTTCTCCCCCAGGAGTCCTTCAAGTCTTGGAAATGGGAGTTCAAAGAAATGGTATATAATGTATGAATATCTTCATCCTGTCCCATAATTCTTGTTTGCGTCACATTCTGTCCTCTTCTCCTAGAAAACCAGGCTTTTGAAACTCATCCTGCAGTTCTTTCAAACCTTGCTGCACGTCACGGCCAAGGCCTATTCTGTCATGAAGGTGCGCAAAACGCGTTTTGGAAAAACTCTCTCCGACATGTCTCATCTGATGCTTCCTTCCCTGTTCCTTTTCTACGTCAGTCTTCCGAAGAAAATTGTACGGTGATCGTTTAAGCTGATGGTAAAGTTAATGCAAGTCGTTCAAGTACTAATTCATTAATTATTACAGCTTTCGTTCTAGATTATTATGGCAAGAGCAAGTCAGACGTTTTAGTTGGTGTCATCATGAGGCCTCCCCATCCAAAACATGGACTCGAGAACTCAAACTTCAGTTTCTTGCAGGAAACCAGAGCGCTGGAAATTCCTCATTTTAATGGATGGATGTCGAAGCATCGCTTCATCGTCGGAAAATTTCATTTATCTGGAAAACACAGGAGTGAACTGTAGCCTCGACCCTCAGCTGGCATTTTCTCGAAGACCCCAGATGGCCTCGACTCCTGTCAGAATATCATACGGACAATAATACTGCCCCATCGTATCTCATCATCTTTGACCTTTGTGGCAATCAATATGTGGGGTAAACCGGGAAACCTTTCCCCTGTATAAGCCCTCGAACATATGCGTTGTGTTCGTCTCAATTCTGTGGTGGCATGACAGAAGGCGATAAGTCCATTTTTGTTATTTCTCAGGAGAAAGATGTTTAAATTCCTCTCCACTACTATTCATACAGTGCATGCTACATATCCCCTTTTTTCAAATGCAGTTTTCTCCCAAAGGAACAGGAATTGGACTTTCCGTTTAAAAAAGATGGATCACGACGCACTCTATATGGTGATGATGTCAGCTCAATTTCGCCAAAAGTGGACTTATCTCCTTCTCTCATACCACCACAGAATTATTATCAAGCCCTTCAACGCGATTCTCATTCCATCGCAAATTGAAAAATTCTCCCGATCGGAGCAGTCGAGTTTCATCACCCAATCTACCGTAGAAAACGGGAAAATCTTTAAAAAGCCGCTTTGAGAAAGCCACCTATGAACCCGCACCTCCTAGCTCTCAACACGAAGATTTTTTCGTATTTTTTTTCTTAACACATTGACTGCCAAGCCCTTTTAAGAAAAGTGCTCCCACCAGGCCAGAGTTCCTGCATCTAGTGGACTTTGAACGTTGGCGTTTTAATACGTCGTGATACCGTTTGAAAAAAAAAAGATGTCAGCCACAATGGATTGATATTGTCTGACTACATAATATTTCAGTTGTAGCCATGTACACCACCAATAAGTGACGTGGCTATGAACCCATCCATTTGGTCTATTTCTATTATCAGATGAATAAAATGTCCAATCAAATTCTTGACCAAGAGCACGACACGTTCATAGCTTATTCCTTCGTGGAAGAGGTGTCTTCAGTAATTGATTATTCTGATAGCGGAACTACAATTGCATCACCTCTTGATCATAGTAATTCTGATAATGACAGATTAATTGACAGAGGTGGTGATGTGATGGAAGTAGAGGAGAACAATCAACAAGTTGATGAAATCAATTGATAATTGAGAAGCGAGTAATCATGGTGGGACTGGAGATTCAGGAACAATCTATATTTCAAGGTCACTAGAAACCTATAGCCCCAGTGGCACAAAACATTGAATCAACATTGATTGAATGCTGACTCAGCGTCCGGATTGATTAAATGCTTCTTCTATGTTGATTCAATGCTACGTGCTACTGGGGGGGGGGGGGGTTGATTGTTGATCATGATATATTCAGTCCACTTGAAGCTTATGATCTTCTCAATGATGAAGTCCTAAATCTCATCATAAGAGATTTTAATTGTCTTGCCCAGAATATCCTTATATGTAACACTGTTACACCGTATTCTCTTTGGAAAACTGGGACTGAGATTGACTAGACTGATCTCAGGAAGTTCTCAAGCCTGATAACTTGAATGGGTCTTGCGACAATGCCCTCATTTGCTCAATTGATCATCAACCAGATTTACCAGATTTACATTGCAAGTTATGTCTTGGAACAGGTTAGAACTACTCCTTTGTATGGTGCTTTTCTATGACAAAAGTAATGTTGAAAAAGGTGATTGCATTGCCAAGATTTGACTTCTACTTGATGCTCTGGGGGATAATTACCAAAAGACAATGAAACCTTGTCAGAAGATCGTCATTACTGAATCAATGGTACCATGACCTAGTAGACTGGCATTTCGTCAGTATATGCCATCAAAATGTATGTGCTATTCACGTCTGAAGGAAAAATTTGAACATAAACAAGCCGGGAAGAAGATAGTCACGATATACTGCCTAGTTTGTCCGACACAACCCACCAAGGTGCACGTAATGCTTGACAAACCACCTTCCTGATCAATTAAGTTCATTTTTCCAAGAATATAGTACATTAATGCTCCAGAGGTCAATATCATGTTATTTATAATTCGCTTGAGGCTAAGCATTCGAATTGCGGAGCAAAATGCAAACAGGGATCAACTAAAACAGGTCGAAATAGCTCGGAGTTGAGCGTCAGGGTATCATGTCAGAACATCGACGCCAAAACTTCGAAACGACAGAACATCGACGAGACGAAACATCGACGGGACAAAACAGCGACGAAATGAAATGTCGACATACCAATTAATTTTTTTCGAATTTTTTTGAGACCGCTAATATTACATAACTTCCGAAGGGCCTTGCGGCGATCGTCTATCAATCCATGATGACCGATGGAAGATAGCTTGAGGATGGCATCTTGGCTTCAGCAAGCATCTTGCGGCTAATTATCCTTCTATGTGGAAGTTTATTGATTGCCTCAAGAATAAACAGAACCTGAATGAACTTAGGATGGAACAGTATATTGCATGACAAGAACCTCCTCCGAGCCGCAAAATTAATCGTCAATGCTCTCTCGAATAAACTCTATTGTATTGGATTATTAGCAGCGACTACTGAAAGAGTATTTACAAAGGATTGCACATAATTTCAATCTCCAGGTGTAACGCTGATCTGCTACAGTGTACCGTGCAAAGACAGGCTCCTCTTTTCAATGTTCTTCTGTTCTCATCATTTACAAAATGTGATCCCTTATTCTAATTCTTTATTCTTTTCATTTCGTCTCTATTGACGTGGTTTGAATTCCTTTTAATTTAATGTGTACGTATCAATAAAATGTAAAAAATTCGGTTCTTCCATTAAAAGATTTAACATTTTTCTCTTCATTGCAAAAGCTCAGCTTTACCATATACATACATGTATATCCTGTGATCTACGAAATCTTCCCAAATACTTTTTTTTATTTCATCCGTCTTTGATGAGAAACAAACTGCAACTGAGCAAATTTACTGTACATTATAGGCATATGAATAGCTCCAAGATGCTTGCTGAAGCCACGTCATCTTCAACCTGTCTTTCATCGGTCATCCTGGATTGACAGATGATCGCAGCAAGGCCCTTCGGATGTTATGTAACACTAGCAATCTCAAAGATAAAATCCGAGAAAAATAAATTGGCATGCCGACATTTCATTTCGTCGATGTTTCGTCCCGTCGATGTTTTGTCACGTCGCTGTTTCGTCTCGTCGATGTTTTGTCGACGATATTTTGTCGCTTCGATGTTTTGGCGTCGATGTTTTGACATGGAACCGAGCGTCAGCCACCCGTGGCTGACAGGCCTGGCACGAACTTCTTAGTGTCAGCCACGGGTGGCTGACATGGCAGTTAATGTGTTAATATACCTGTCCACTCCTCCTCTTTTTCCGTCTCCCTTTTCCTCTTCCCCCACCTTCACATTAGCTTCTTTTGCCATTCTCGCTTCAACCACCCTTGGCTTTTTCTTCTGCCTCTCTGGGTCCTTTTCCTCTTCATTTGCGTTCCCTTTAACTCAATTTACTTGCGCCCCGTCCTGTTTTCTTTGTTTTTGGTCTGTTACATCTTTTGTGGTCTCACTTTCCTCTCCTTCCTCTGGACTTCTTTCCCAGTGAACTCTCTCGCAAACCCGTGATTTTCAGGTGAAGAAATGGGCTTTGGATTTTCCCAGATTCGTCCAGATAATCGGAATGCTCGTAAACACGTGCCTCTCTCCCGTCCCCGATTTTTTCCCCCCATGAAACGAGGAAACGAGAGTGAATATCGTGACATTGGAAATGGGTTGGAAGATGGACTCAGGATGATGATCATTTGGGGCGAGGATGGATAGATGGAAGGATGGATGAAGGGAATGACCCAGGATGATGAAGGAAAGATCGATGCAGGCCCCAGCTAGTCGTGAGAGCGAGCTAATTTTTCTTTCTGCTGGGGGGAAATCTCCCACCCTTCCGCTCCCATCTCTTTCCATAATAGGCTGCCGGGGAAAAACTTCGACACCTTCTGGGGCAGAAATAAAAAAGCACCCTTTGACCTTTCCTCATTCGTTCCTGTCTCATCTTGTACCCTTCGTAAGATGGCGCCTTCAATGACTACATTCGATCTCCAGATGTGACGGTTTCTTTTCCCGCGATTCGTCGAAACTTTGCGAGTACGAAGTTCTTTCCTCACCTGGATGATTTTGAGGATGAGAGTGGAGGTAGCGAAGTCATATTCCAGACTGAACTGTATATGACCGACGGTCTCGGTCGGTTCCGAGCTGTCCACGTACATGTCCACCAGAGACATGGAACGATTCTGCCAGAATGCCATCTGCAATCCCAACCAAAGAAGCTCAGAAGGCAATTCGTTTGACCCTGCAAGCACAGCCAGCCCTTGAGCCTTGAAGAGACTTAGGAATTAGGTCAATTGGCTCCTCCCACTCAACTCTCCGAATATTCCATTCATATTCCATATACATATGAAGGATTGCCCCTATGAAAAAGATTGCTTTGAACCTGTGCGGTTGTACATATTAAACAGACCTAATAAATAGTTTATCTAATACTAAACAGCCAGAGAGTTCTTGTCGGTGTACCTTCGTTGTCCAAGCAATTTTAATCCAGACGCGGGATAAGAAAAAACGCCGTTCTTCAGGCGCTAGAGTCCAGGTACGTCACGGTATAGAACAGTACAGGGACGTCAGAGAAATAGGACCCGATGAACAAGGCACAAAGTCAATCTCTTTCATGAAGTCAAAGAAAAGAGATGAAGCAGTTTATCCCATTTATTTAACAGCAATGCACATTATTGTCCCCGGGGAATCTGGGGTTCAACGTATGATAGTTCTCGTATCCGGCGTTCAGAGATGGTGATCTCGTATGGGCAGAAGAAGGCCACGGTATCAGAAAATTATCCTTGAGAGTGGTGCACAATTGTCACGAGTACCTTGGAATGCCTTTGGGCTCTTCAAAATAGCGACAATCCTAAAAAAAAAAGCTAATATCAGGAGTTGAAACCAAACGCATTGTGAATGCCTGAATCCAACATCGTCGTTCCTTTCCGCGGGAATTCTGAACCAGTCCCACATAGTGTAACTTGTGCGGGCACCAGCTATGTCATAAACTTATGCTGAGTAAAAGGCTCGGTATCCTTGCATCCGAGCTGCTAGCGAGGCAGAGAACGGCATGGCAATGTAAGCAATCTCAAGTCCGGAGAGTCACTTCTCTCAAGAGGGAGACACTTCCTTTTATTGATCATCAATAATAAATAAAGAGCGACATTCGAATCGATATCTGCCCTCTACTGAGGTGTCATTGGCTAGACTATTCCGACGGCGACGCATTGAGATCTCCATTGTGCTTGAGAAATCTGATGGGAGTTACTGGAGCGTGTGCATGATTGGATGATGGTTATTCTCGCGGCGCGTTCTGGTTGCCTGTTGCGCTCGGAAGCTATCCGTGATCACATCCATTCACTAAGAAGCGAGAGCGACAGTGAGTGGGTGCGTCAATCTATTAGCGATGCTGGCAAAGGCATTTTGGCATTTTGTTCTCGTGGATGCTGCTGCTAGGTAGCCGCTCTCCATTTTGCCATCATACGTCATTTTACCATCAGACAGACGGATAAAAAGAAAGATGATCTTGGCCGAGACCAAGGTATCGGATGTGCGCTCGGTAGAGATTCGGTTTGCCTCTCGCGCTTCCCTGCCATAATCCTTGCCGTCCTTAACGGGCGACAAGGGTCAGGAACTGTCGATCCACATTTGGCAACACTGAACTTGAGTTGTGATTAGCTTGGACAACGTCAGTACACCATTTTTCCGACCCCAAAATATGGATATTCTTTCGAAAAGTGCAGATAAGCCAGTTCAAAATCATTGGTTGGTTGGTTTCTAGAGATTTGACAAGAGTACAGTCTGGCATAATAGTAACAATCGTAGCAGGAAATCAGTCCCAGTAATGTAAGCTCCTTTCTGTAGCAAGAATTTGGGTCTTGCATCTCAAAGTATTTCCATCTGAGTATAACCTTGAGAAAGAAAAACGTCTACCGGCAAGAAATTTCTGCATATGTATCATACAGGATGACTTATTTGTGAGGCTGACCGCTGAATGAGTCTCCTGCGAAAACTGGGTGAATGGAATGAACGCAGACTTAAGGAATGGAGTTCTCGGTACATGCGCTACTCGTACCCAATGACGAAAGCAGCGGTGAGTGAGGGCATCACCAATCTCACCGTCGGTCGATGGGCGCGCAGCTTCCCTGGCGCTGATCGCTCGAAGATGAGATTCGGATAACTCTTTCTGCGGAGAATCAGGCTCCTCCGCCCCCATATTTCTGCACTTTCCGCGCGCCGTTCACACTCAGGCACATTGATCATGGAGCAGGTGCGCCCAAATTTCTGCACAGGGCGTCGCAGAGCTTTCCTAGAACACGGACTGCACCGGACGATGGCTGCTCGACGATCAACGATACGCACGCAATGCAACCTTAGTATTCCTCAATGAGCTCGACTCCACTCTTGAATGTTGGCATGGTGGTCATTCCTGTTGCATTGTGTACCTCTGGATTACTGCCACCGTATTATACCGTTGGTTGTTCACGTGATATGCATATGAGGCGATGCTGGCACCCTCACTCCTTGCTGCTTTCATCACCAGATCCGAGTAGCACATGTAACCTGTTGTTCATCCTCCAAGTTTCGATTCATTCCGTCTGTTCATTTTCGCAGGTGACTGCAATTTGATCAGTCAGCTTCACAAATGAATTACCATATTGAGGCAGCAAGCCAAAAGAGCTGGAAAACGAGTGACCCTAATGGCCTGATTAGTTTGTTAGACGGTAGGAACTTAGATTGGAGCCAATTGGGGGAATAGAAAGTGGGGAATTCCCTCGGACAGGAGCAGCTGCTTCAGATGAGAATGAAAGAAACTTACAGCGGGATGTTCGGGTTTCGTGTTGTTGGGTGGCTTGGCATTGGCATCCATGACAGCTGCAGCTGTTGATGTTGCAGCCGACGACATCAACAACTGGGGCTTCGTCACGGCCATCTGACTGCTAAAAAAGGAAGAAGGAGGAGAGATCACCCCGATTGAAGTCGCCGATCCGTCAGGTGTGACAAGAGGGTAAATGCATTTCTGATGTGCTTCACGAGAGCAATAATTCATCTTTTTTTTTAAACAGATGAGTGAATATTTCTTAATTCCCTGCTCTCTGATAGTGATAAGTCCTCAATTTTGAAACTTCTGTTCGAGAAACAGACAACTTTTTTCAATCCTTAAATAATCCCTTAATTGAATGTGTGCCCTTTCGCCAGACTTGCGACGATACATGAGATGAACACGCGTCGTCTGCAGGATTTTTTTTATGAGATTCCCAATACATGTAGAATGGATCATAAAGAGCCGTTTATTACATCTCATTCGTCCGACCGAACAATCCATCACTTTTTCCGCTTGTCTCCGGGGAATCCAGGTTACGTGTGGAGAGTAGATGGAAAAACTCGTCAAGTCCAATCGTTGACATTTCACTTTCCTAAGTTGATTGAAAGACCTCGGGACGGGAAAGGATTTTCATCCAAAGGAAAGGAAAGGCTGAGATGAACAATCGTGAAAGGTATGAGGATGCTCGAAAGAAGATTGGATGGCATCGTGAAGGCTCTTTACTCTCCTAATGAGATCCTGGAGGAGTCTTGAATGAAGAAGATGGCAAGGTTCAGGCATGGACAAGAAAAAAAGGATGCTAAAGGGGGAGCACGGAGGGGGGTCGGAATCTTCATCAAAACTTCCCCCTTTGTAACTCTCATTAGATTTGCGTCTACGAACTTTGACTATCATGCATGGCTAAACTCACTTGAAAGCCTTGGTTTTGATCAAAGGTGTTTTGACATTGATGGCTCCGTTGGGTTGGGTAGTGATCTGACCCTCGATCTTGCCGGGGCTGTGACCAGGTCCAGGGGTGAGAATGCCATGAAGAGCCTCGGCATCCGGATCCGTCGAGGAACAGGTCTTCCCCGATCCCCAGCCGAAGATGTTCAGACCTTTCTTCCATCGACACCAGCAGAAAAATGCCATGGCTCCAAGGAGGGATAGGAGACAGGCGAGAGTTGCTAAGACTGCCGTTAATACCACATCTCGTCTCTCCATCACCGCCTAAACAGGGAGAAAAAGCAGCGGGAATGATGAAATCAAGCCGAGTCTCTTCTGTACCGCAGATATTATACATTAATAGAAAGGTGATGAGTACTATATATCACGTGTCTAAGGGACATTTTCGCGTGACAAGTGTTCGAATGATTCCGTAACTTTCGGAATGTGCACAGTGTAATATATTCTGGTACTGGAATGGGAGCAGGAAAGAGATATCGGCGACGCCATAGCAAAAATCGATCAAGCCAGGCCGCTTTTCTCCATTGTTAGCGTGGAATACAATGTATTATTATTATTGTTATACACAATCGTATCTGGCTTTCGAATGGTGGATACTGAATGGCGAGCAGCGAGCGCGCCTGGACGAAAGCCATACTATCCTCACCAAACAGTAAATTTACTTTCAGATCATGAATATAACCTCAGTACCGCTCTGCCTGTCAATTACCGCCAATTACCAATTACAATGCAAACTACAGGAATAAACCTAATTTAGACGTATTTAATTACTGAAATACCAAGCGATTACTTTCGTAGTCCAAGACGATCCAAGTTACAAATGCGCATTTCGTGAACGCATTCCAAAGAACGTTATTTTAAAAAGTAGCGATCGGGGACCCAGGATTGAACCCACAGTTCTACCAATGAGAAGACCTCATGATGAGCTGATGGTGTAGGTCCGTGGATACGCGCTGCCTGCAATGCTGGCAGCTTATACTTAAAGTGGTCAAGCGGGAAAATCAGCAAGCAGGCTCCGAATCAATCTCCCTAGATCAGAAGTCTCTATTTTGTCAAGAAACGTAAAATGGATTACAGAAGCTAAAGAAATATCCGTATGCACCTGTAAAAGAAGGAAGAAAAAGATCCCGGCGTATGAGTTCGACGGAGACGAGATTGCCAATAGCCGAAAGTAAGCAATCTCTGCCAATTAACACTATCGATAACAACCTGCAATCGATTACATTACAACTGCATTTCAACAATTCCCTATTTTGTCGCGATTCAATAATGCTCATATTGTTACAGGTGAACTGACGTTGCATGGAGACGAGCTGAGCGACTTAAATCTAGGAGAGAATCAATGAACATCAAGATGAAGAAAGTTCCTAGTTGTGATAAATTCAAGAGATTCCTGATGAGGGTGTGCCAGGTGTTTTCCAGGTGGACGTCGCTGGCCGATGCGATTTTCTTATCTACGAAAGGTTATCGGATTGGACGTGCTTTGGGCTCAGGTGCTTTCGGAAAAATTTATGAAGCCTCTCATTCGAGCGGAGAGAGACTGAATCTCTCCTGAACTGAATCCTGCAACGAGATCGGATCCCCGAGGAGTTCCCAGTCTGTCTGAGCATGGAATGCCACCCGATGAAGATGATGAAGGAATTTGACAGTCCGTGGCTTCTTCGCATGCACACCCTGGCCAGTATGAAACATCGCATCTTTCTCTTCACCCAATACCACGGGAGAGACGCGACTCTTCGAGGGTACTTGCGTTCCACGAGTGAGACCCGGACAGGTCTTTCGGAATATAAGGCCTATTATTGGTTCCGACAACTGTTGGCCGGTCTGAGTTACATCCACGATCGGGGATGGTGTCATACAGCCATCAACGACTCAAACATTTTCCTCACTTCCAGCTACAACCTTAAGATCGGAGCCTTGGAAGTCATGCAGAAGATTGAAGATCGAAAAGGGAATGCAAAGAAAACAAGGATGTTGTGGTATGGATATCAGGAGCCGTTATTTGCGTCTCTTGAAGTGAAGGAAGGGAAATGTGAGGACGGATATGCAAGTGACTTGTGGTCTTGTGGGGTCCTTCTCTTCCTTCTTCTACATAACAGACTCCCTTTCGGAGGGGATACTGGGACCATCCTGGAGCAGCAGAAATTAAAGGCTTACGTTTGCGATCTGGACGTAAGCAGCTCGGCAAGGGATCTCATTAGCAGCCTTCTGGAACCCGATACGAGGGCTCGTCTCGATCTACGCAGCGCCATCGATCATCGTTGGATACGTCGGGATAATTATTCCCGACTTCTTGACAAGGCGGGTCTTCTCGATCACCATGCCCTTCGACGTCCTGATTTTTCCCATGGTAGCATATAGCATGTCATTCATATAAAGGATTATCATTCAACTAACGACTTTGTGGAACAGATGCTATTGTCAGGGCCCATTACACCTATCCAATAGGACTCGAACAGAACATCCTGTATAGATTGTTTGATGATTCCTTTGATTTCTTTTCATGCCTATAACAGAGTACCCTTAATGGGACCTCGCATGACGACTTCATACAGTATTCGGCGGTTGTATGCTGTTAATTGGCATTAGCAGGCACATTTTGTGTTAAAGCATGAAACTAATTCGAAACTGTGACTTGGATGAGATGGTGTTTGGTGATCTTGATGTGGTGGTGTAGATAAATGCTGTAGACATTTTCTAGACCACCGTTTATGATTGTACAGGGTGATTTTAAAGTCGCCGAACCCATACACTTGCATATATCTCCGGTTACACTTGCGGGAACAACATATAATTTGGCCCACGTGTAAGACCTGATGTATGAGGTCACAATGCGTTACAAGAGATGTTGGAAGTGCCTGCCATTCTGTGCTAAACACTTAAGGAGCGGGCACTTGTGAACAATTCACCCTCAATTGAGGAGCTAAAGGACACCATCACCGAGTTAATTGCTGACATTCCCAAGGACATACTTCACTGCGTCGCCAAAAACATATGTCGTCGCGTTCAAGCGTGTTCGGCCCATAGCTGGGGAAATCGCCTCATCTTCGCCGAGTGAGTAGGTCAGTCAAGTCACACTATGCCGCTGTTGCCCCGACATCCACCCCATTCACAGGATGATACGGTACATGACAGCAGCGGCTAATGTACAGCCATCTAAATACGGAAGTCCCGAAGTTGAGCCATATAGAGGCCGCAAGCAAACCATCTGACAGCTACACGTACAAATGTGGTTCTCAAACTCGGCGCAAGATGGTGTTTAAATCGTCGTAGCGAGTCACTCCCTGATTCTTCGAAAACTTCGAAAACTATTTCCTACAGTTCCCGATCTCTTCTCTCACGGATCTTCGAGAAAGACAATCAAAATTTTCTATATATTTTTCTCAAGATATTACACAAGTTGGGTTACATCTTGCTCAACTCCAGGCAATTCTGGCTCGAATGCTGGAGGGGGAATGGTTCTACGAGGCACTTGACTCAATTGGCCCAATTCTTTCTTCCCCTCAAATCATATCAAACAAGCAAAATCCTAATGATCAATGCAAGCAGAAACTGACTTCTTGAGATTAGATAGAGTTACATACCTTGAAAGGAAAAGTACTCTGGTATTTGAAAGTCTTCACTAGATCAATTAATCACAGACGGAATGGTGATTGGGTTCTCGATGAGTAGTGCTTCAGTAGAGCTAATCCTAGGAAGAGATTATTGCTTCACAGAAGTACCAAGGAGGAAAGGTAGCCGTGCATGTTTCCGGTTCCCCCAGTCTAGCTATGGCTTATGCACGAGTCAACTGCAAGCCGCTTATGGCCCATTGAAAGATTTATGTCCGGGAATATATCGATGTCCGTCTGTGGCATTCAACTCAGCCACACCCGACGGGCTATTCTCCAACTGTCGCCTCCAGCATATCTACGTCAAAATGCAATGATGTTATTGGCGACAGGAAAAGCCTGGGGAAAAGAATTGCCGCAGGAGATCTCATTCACGTATATCGGACAACGATGTTAAAGAACGTCAGAACTATCTCCCAGCGGCATCGTGTCCCTCCCTCCAGAACTTTCCAGATTCCTAGGCGATGCTGAGGAGGTAAAGGTAAAGTTTCAAGCAATTTATGATTTTCCCAGGGGTGATTTGGAAGTAAACGGCACTCAAGTGGAAAACAAGAGGCCCTCACATGCGCAATAACAGGAATCTTAGGAACCTCATAGATTACTATGAGATGTTCAGAAGCGCGCATCACAAAGTCACGATGAAACAAGATTGTTGGGGTGACATGCACCGAATCTGTTTAAGCTAAACTAATATGATCTGACGATAGTCACCTATGGGAATCAGTTTAACCGAGATAAACTTATTCCCATAGACGCCCAGTATGAAAACGAATCATTTAAAAGTTAAGCGAATCTGGTGCATGTCACCCTTGATCGGGGACAACCTGCTCTTCAATAACTCGGATTTTATATCCAGTATGAAGTAATGCAAATCTGAGCGTAATTGTATGAATGGCTTTCGAGGATAAAGGCGAGGTTCAGCGTCGGTTAACTCTCAATTAACTCATCGGCAACTAAGCTAATGCTCACAAATGGGCTGCATTTAGCTTAGTTGCCGATGAGTTAATTGCACCAGCATACATTCGGATTCGTGCAGGGTCTCGCGGACTAAAAAGAGCATATGACGCAGAGAAGCCTGACCGAGGCGTCGATTACTTCATTAGGAGATGGCTGCCTGCTGGAATAATGTATGGAGAAGGACTTCCTTAGCGTGGTTTCCTTTCGTCAAAGCCACACCTAACAGTTCTTAGTCCTTCCCATCACGATTTCTGCTGCCTAACCATAGCAAGATGAGTCTCACAGTAAGAGATCACTGAAGCGTCAGACGTAGCGTAGCTTCCTTTTTTTAAGTGGCATTAATGGGATCCCAGGGTGAGCTACATCGAGACCTCTTCTAAAATGTATTAGCTCGAGGGTGGCTATATGCATGAATCAGAAAACGCTTTTAGAAAGCTCTTCCAGTGGATTCCGGAATCTCAATTCGACGATTGAGGAAATAATATATCAGCTCCCCTTTCCTTTCTGACAGAGAAGGGGGAGATCGAGAATCGCGCTACGAGATTAACAAGAAATGAAAATTACCATTAATTCTCAACCAATATATATTTTCTCTCACTGAAGCTATTTTCAGAAAACTTACGTCGTGCAAAGATAGATTGATGTTTCCAACAGATCTTCAAAAATTCATCCAAAATTGTTCAACCAAAGCAAGGG